ACAGGCAGAGTGGACAGTGAGAGAGAGAGAGAGACAGAGAGAAAGGTCTTCCTTTTGCCGTTGGTTCACCCTCCAATGGCCGCCGCGGCCGGCGCGCTGCGGCCGGCGCACCGTGCTGATCCGATGGCAGGAGCCAGGAGCCAGGTGCTTCTCCTGGTCTCCCATGGGGTGCAGGGCCCAAGCACCCAGGTCATCCTCCACTGCACTCCCTGGCCACAGCAGAGAGCTGGCCTGGAAGAGGGGCAACCGGGACAGAATCCGGCGCCCCAACCGGGACTAGAACCTGGTGTGCCGGCGCCGCTAGGCGGAGGATTAGCCTAGTGAGCCGCGGCGCCGGCCTTTTTTGCCTGATTTCAACATTTATAACACGGTTTCTATTCTACCATAAACTTTTCAGGGATTAAGTTTGAAAAATATTCTGATATTTATAATATATTTTGATTCATTCATTCAATCAATTAACCTATACTGATTTTCTAGATTGCCATTAATTTCTAAGCCTATCAAGAGGAAGAAGATATAGCTCCTATTTTTATAAAATTTACCAAAAAGAGGCCGGCACCCCGGCTCACTTGGCTAATCTTCCGCCTGCGGCGCCAGCACCCCGGGTTCTAGTCCCGGTTGAGGCGCCGGATTCTGTCCTGGTTGCTCCTCTTCTAGTCCAACTCTCTGCTGTGGCCCGGGAAGGCACTGGAAGATGGCCCAAATGCTTGGGCCCTGCACCTGCATGGGAGACCAGGAGGAGGTACCTGACTCCTGGCTTCGGATCAGCGCAGTGCGCCAGCCTCAGCGGCCGTTTGGGGGGTGAACCAACAGAAAAGGAAGACCTCTCTCTCTCTCTCTCTCTCTCACTGTCTAAATCTGCCTGCCAAAAAAAAAAATTTACCAAAAAGAAGTAAACTTTACTACAAAAAAAGCTTGTGGAAAGTACTATCATAAAGGGATAAAATCTTCAGAATCAGAGACTGAAAATGAAATCCAAAGATTTAAGAGAAGGTTGACAGAAAAGATAATACTTAAGCTGAGCCTAGAAGACTGAATAAAAGGTGTATTCCAGGCAAAGGGGAACAGTAGGATCTGAGGTATGGGAGAATAAAAGTGATGGCGTGTTGACCTGAGAGATAATAAACCCAACCATCATGAAGAGGAGAAAAGAAAGAAGCTGACACAATAGGTTAGAACACTCACTAAGCACTGACAGTACAAAGAGTATACATACAGTGTCTCCTCTCAGTAAGCTTTGCAGTATCAGCCATGGAGGAGGGTGATTCTACTGAATTGTGGCAGGTAGCTATGATGGAAGAATGGCCAGGATGCCAAGGGAACATCATGAAGGAAGCATCTTTACGCCACATGAAAACTAAATTGGATTCATCTTTTGATGGCGAGTCACTTGAGGGATTTGATTTATATTTTACATATTGGTTGGAAATAGAATGGTTCAAGAAAAGAAGGCAGGCTTTAAAACAGGGAGTTTATTCAGATATTGCGGTGATACAAATAAAAGAGGATGGCTAAAACTAAGACAGAAATGGTAAAAAGGCAAAGCCATATTTCAACAATACTGAATAAATTATTTTCTCTTCTATATAAGCAAAGCTAAGCACTTGGGGATACCGTAGTGGATAAGCAAGTAATCCCTACACTTAAGAGGAAAAATGTGAGAGCCAAGAAAATAAACAATTACAATAAAGTATGGTAAGCATTATGACAGTTTTAAATATAAAGCTTATGGTAAACAGGATCTTTAGTAAGATCTGAAGAGCATGGGAATTAGAGTTCAAGTAATCAGGAAAGGTTCATCTCCCAGAGGAAATGTTTAAGGTGTAATTTAAAAGATGAGAAAGAGGTGGTAAGGCAAAGGAGATGATGGGAAGGTAATTAATCCAAGGGAAATTTCAAACACAGAAGAATGAAAATGAGAAGAAGAAAAATCTCAGGTTTCTAAGCTAGAGCGACCAGACGAGTGATGTCACTTAGAAAGGGGGACACAGGTCAGTAGTCAAGGAGATTAGGAAGTCACATCCTACCAGACATGCAGATGAAAACAGTAGCTGCTAAAGACAAATAGAAGTCTTCAGCTCAAAGGCTCTAGGTACCTGATAAGAATACTACATTACCTTTATATTACCCTCCCCCCTTTTTAAGACGTATTTATGGCCGGCGCCGCGGCTCAATAGGCTAATCCTCCGCCTAGCGGCGCCGGCACACCGGGTTCTAGTCCCGGTCGGGGCGCCGGATTCTGTCCCGGTTGCCCCTCTTCCAGGCCAGCTCTCTGCTGTGGCCAGGGAGTGCAGTGGAGGATGGCCCAAGTGCTTGGGCCCTGCACCCCATGGGAGACCAGGAAAAGCACCTGGCTCCTGGCTCCTGTCATCAGATCAGCGCGGCGCGCCGGCCGCGGCGGCCATTGGAGGGTGAACCAACGGCAAAGGAAGACCTTTCTCTCTCTCTCTCTCACTGTCCACTCTGCCTGTCAAAAATAATAATAATAATAATAAAGACGTATTTATTTATTTGGAGGGCAGAGTTACAGACAGAGGCAGTGAGAAAGAGTTCTCCCATCCTCTGGTTTACTTCTCAAATGGTCGCAAAGGCCAGAGCTGGGCTGATCCAAAACCAGGAGCCTGAAGCCTCTTCTAGGTCTCCCATGTGGGTTGTGGGGCCCAAGGACTTGGACCATCTTCTACTGCTTTCCCAAGCCACTAGCAGAGAGCTGGCTTGGAAATAGAGCAGTTGGGACCTGAACCAGTACCCATATGGGATGCCAGCACTGCAGGTGGCAGTTTTACCCACTATGCCACAGCACCGGCTCTGCCTTTCCTTCTTTAAATTAAAAAAGCCTACTAATTTAATCTCTGCCACCATCCTCCAATTAAATTATTAATTAATTTGAAGAGACAGTAACGGAGAGGGAGGGAGGAAGGGAGAGAGAGATTGAGATTCTATCCCTTGCTTTACTCTCCAAATGGCCACAACAGCTGAAGCTGGGTCAGGCCAAAGCCAGGAGCCAGGAATTCCATCTGGGTCTCCAAATGTGGGTAGCAAGGTCCCAGGTACTTGTGCTATCCTCCACTGCTTTCCCAGTTGCATCAGAGAGCAGGACTAGAAGCAGAGTAAGCAGGACTCGAACAAGCACGGTAATACGGGATGCCGGCATTGCAAGTGGTGGCTTAACCAGCAATGCCACAACACCCATCCCAGCCTAATTCAATCTTACTGGCATTATTAAATCACAAAATCAATACAATATTACTGGAATAATGTAAAACATCTAAATTTTAAAAGTGCCAAAAAGCATCCTGCCTCTTCACTGTGTTATCTTTTCCATTAGAAACAATTTGGTATGAACTAGAGTTGAAAACAACATCTATTTTCTGACCAACAGCAAAGAATATGTTTACCCAATTAACTCCCAAGTTTATATACAGCTTTCAGGTTCCCAGTGGTGTGTAATGATCAAAACAAATTTTTCTAAAAGACATTTTTTATTACGCTTCTCTGAATTTTTGGTATTTTACATTAATAAAATATAACTGTTATTGAAGGGAGAAATAAATATTGTAAAGCACCACACCCATGCATCATAACACACAGTTAACCCTGGGATGCAGCCAATGAAAAAGTTGAAAGAGAAGAAAATCTCTTTTTTTTTTTTTTGAGCATGTCTCCCCAAATCACTTAACCAATCTAAGGGCCACCATACCTCAGGATGCTTTATTATGAGAGATAATCATTATGTTTATTTTATATGCTGTTTATTTGCAGGTTTGGTTTCTGGATTTAAATTAAATATTTTCATCTCAAAGCCAACAGAGTGGCTAATCTTTTGTCAGATAACAAGTAAGAAAGATTTTAAAACAGCTGAAAAGTGGTAACTTGAAAAGAAAAAAGTGTTACAATACTGGAAGTCAAGGTTTACAGTGTAATACCCTGAATTGGTGGTAGTGATCTAATACAACCACTTGTAAACGTGAATTTTTTTTAAATTATTTATTTATTTAAATTTATTTATTTCTCTGACAGGGTTACAGAGAGAGAAGGAGATACAGAGATCTTCCATACACTAGTTCACTCCCCAAGTGGCTGCTATGGTTGGGGCTAAGTCAGTCCTAAGCCAGGAACCAGAAGGTTCCTCCAGGTCTTCCACGTGGGCCATCCTCTGCTGCTTTTCCCAGGTCAGCAGCAGGGAGTAGGATGGGAAGTGGAGCAGCCTGGACACAAACTGACACCCATATGGCAATGCCAGAGTGACAAGCACAGTGCTGACCTGGAAAGTGAATTTTAACACTCACAATTTTGGCACGGGTAGATGCAGCTTATTGTGACATTACTGGAACTGACACGTGATGGATGCCTACACTCAATATCTCACCTAGGGGCCAGTGTTGTAGAGCAGTGGGTTAAGTCGCTGTTTGTAATGTCAGCATCCCACATTGGAGTGCTGGTTCAAGTCCCAGCTGCTCTGCTTGCCATTCACCTCCCTGCTTAATGTGTCTTGGAAAGTAGTGCAAAATGGCCCACATGGGTGGGAGACTTGGATGGAGTTTTGGGCTGTTGGGTTCAGCAAAGCCCGTTCTTGGGAAATGAAGCAACAGATGGAACATTTCTATCTCTCTTTCTCTGTCATTCTGCCTGTGAAGTAAATAAATAAATCTTTAAAAAATGGAAAAAGAAGTTGGGGAAAAAATCTACTTCATTTATTCTAACTTATACACTCACTCAGTATCTGGAATCAAAATAACATCTTAAAATTAATGGCATGCCATAGTTTATTTGGCAGTGATTTTTCATTTTTCAGTATTACATAAGAAAATAGTACCTCCTGTAATTAAAAGTTGCTTTATATTTGATGAAATAGACACAGTGATTCAATTCAAACGGATCTATAGTATTTAACTAAATAAAGCAGTATTTAACAAAATATATATTAGAAACAGAAAGGGGTTATGTGTGTGCACATATGTGTGCCCATGTGTAGCCTGTAGTTTTACTTTACATACCTCTGTAGGTCAACTATTTCATTGTTAAGGGTATCTAGCTCCTTAATAGCAGAGAAATCTGCAACAGGACTTGATCCTATGATGTTCTAAAAACAAAAAGTTCACAAGCACATATTATTACTATAAAATTATATTATATACAACAAATAACTTAAAATGTTGAAGTCTCTAAGGTATTGCATAATTTACTATATTGCTAATAATTCATTTAATAAAACTGTCTAGTTCAATTGTATATACATATATATATCACTATATTCTTAGTTATATACTAAGACATTCTCTTAAATCCTCTAAAAGCTGTTATTCTATAATTAAAAACTCCCACCCCCACTTCAGGTCCCAATGTCTTTGTCACTTGATTCTAGCCTGTCTAGGATCTTGAAGTAAAACAGATATCAGGTTTATAAACTAATACTTCCAATGAAATATAAATTTCTCGGGGAGATGGATGGTGATTTATTTGCATTTGTATCATCTGACACAAAATAAATTCACAAATTTTTGAATTTTTTTTTTTTTTTTTTTGGACAGGAAGAGTTAGACAGTGAGAGAGAGAGAGAGAGACAGAGAGAAAGGTCTTCCTTCCATTGGTTCATCCACAAACTGCGGTCAGCGCACTACACTGATCCAAAGCCAGGAACACGTGCTTCTCCTGGTCTCACATGTGCATGCAGGGCCCAAGCACTTGGGCCATCCCCCACTGCCCTCCCAGGCCACAGCAGAGAGCTGGACTGGAAGAGGAGCAACCGGGACAGAATCCGGCGCCCCAACCAGGACTAGAACCCAGGGTGCTGGTGCCGCAGGTGGAGGATTAGTCAAGTGAGCTGCAGCACCGGCCAATTTTTTTAAATCTTAGAATTATGACTGGTTGATTTCATTCAACAAATATTTACTTTTACTAAACACTTTAAGTATCTATTTAAAGTAAAACCATCTGCTAAGGCATGTTCCACTGTAAATATTAATATCACCACATATGAAGCTGTTCATATATAATACCCTTTATGTATAGTTTTCTTTCACTAACAAACGTGTCAATTTTGATTTCTGGTAACTGTAGTTAGAAATTCTAGCTGTGTTTATGCTGGGCTCCACTGCTTTCTAGCTGCATGATCTGTAAAATAAGGAGTTAATTTCTACTCTTCCCACTTTACGAACTGAATAAAATAGTATATATGAAATCATTCTATAAACATAGTATTTTATAAGCATAAGTTATTGTTATAATTAACTCCCCAGCAAAATATGAGTTGTTTCCCCCAGGATTCAATCTCCTTTGTGAACCATCATTCATGCCCTATATAGTTGGCTGAAGTCAGGGAAGAGGGAAAATTGTGCCTTCAGTTAACCTACACCAAGTGAAAAATAATGGAATAATCACCACTTGGAAATGTTAAAATTGAGTGAAGCTTGAACATGTAAAACCTAAAAAACATTGATGACCTAATTGGAACATAAAAATTAGTAGTATTAATATTTACATTGTTGTGAACTTAATGTATGTCAGTAATTTATATAACAGAAGAAATCTAAAAGCTCACAATGTCGCATTTCTCATTTGTAAAATCATCTACAATTCACCACGCACTTTCAAACCCCCATTAGTCAGTTCTCAAAACTAATCTGAAATGTACATTGTAGGCAGGCCAGATATTATTATTAACCCCATTTTATAGCTGAGGGGAGCAGATTAAATGACTTGCTCAAAGCTCAACCCACTGTTAAAGGAAATCTGATTAAACGTCTGTAGATTAAATTATTTCACACTATGTCCTTTGGTACTTGCATATCAAGAGTATTTAGGTAAATGAGGCCATTACCCTAAAAATAAACTTGATAAACAGGTACACATTGGGGCTGGTGCTGTGGTGCAGTGGGTTAAAGTCCCTGTCTACAGCACTGGCATCCCATATGGGTGTCAATTTGAATCCCAGCTGCTCTACTTCCCATTCAACTCTCTGCTGGATGGCCTGGTAAAGCAGTAGAAGATGGCCCAAGTGCTTGGGCTCCTGTACCCACGTGGGAGACCTAGAAGAAGCTCTTGGCTCCTGGTTTCGGATCAGCTTAGCTCTGGCTGTTGTGGCCATTTGGGGAGTGAACCAACGGATGGAAGACCTTTCTCTCTCTCTCTGGCTCTACCTTTCCATGTAACTTTCAAATAAATAAAATAAATCTTTAAAAAATAAAAAACAGGTACACATCAATGAGACTTAGCAAATAATTCCTTCTATTTTTTTATGCCACATTGTATTTTCAGCAGGGAGCTGTTTTGACTATCAATATCTAAACTCATGTATAAGGATTCAGTTAATTCTACTCTCAATTTTACATTAATTACAAATCTTTACCAAAAACACTTGTTAATTGTTCTACTGTGTTCTGTTGATACAGAGTCCCCTTTCAATGCTAAATTAAACTAGATGTTTTAATGTGGATTTTTGAATATAAATTATTTATTCACTTGGGTTAGATTAGTAAAAATAACTCTATCTAAATTTGACCTATAAGCTAAGCTTGGCCAGATAGCTAGAGAGGTAAACAAAATGAAAAATTAGTACTTGGTCTCATACTTCTATCACCAAAAGGAACTTACATCACTTATATTGCTACTGAGAAATTTGCTCTCAGAGGTACAAGTGTACCAAAAAACTCATGACTTTTATACCTCTTCCATCACTGTAACTCAAAAAGAGTGACTCACATCTGAGTCTTTTGCTATGAAAAACAGCATCAAAGAAGACAAAGCGAGACAAATTAGTTTAACCTCAAATCAGTTAGAAAGTGATACCCCCAATGACTCTAAAATGACATGCATCAAGGAAGCATGGAAAAAAATTCAGCACATATTTTATGCAGCAAATGAAGAGTATACAAAGAAAAATAGAGCACATACCCTTCTTTCAAAATATCTTCTCTCACCCTGTTTTGTGCATTATACAAAAATTCCATTTTGGTGATTTTAAGTGGGTCAGAGAGCCAAGTGAAGGCAAGCTAATACGCACACAAGGACCAAGTGACATGTGACAAAAGCATGCTGTGCAGGTATTTTCTCTTCACCAACTTTAATGCATTAAAAAAAAAAAAAAACACCTCTAATTTCAAAATGTATCTCGTAAACCAAAAAACACAATGCTAAAAAAGAGGCAAAAAATAAAAGTCTAACCTTGATAGAGTAGAGTTAAGAAACTGACAGTACAAGAAAGGCGAGAAGCAGTGTTGCAGAATGGAAAAAACAGTCCAAACTAGAAAAAAACACAGAAAGGAAAGCAACATTTGGAAAAGGATTAGTCAAAGCTGCAAAAAGTGCAATATTTTTAAAAAATCAGGTTACAAAGAGAAAAGCAATTATCTGTAAGGTAAGACAAATGCAAATTTTAGTTTTTTAAAGTTATAATTTTTGGTTAATAGATAAGACATCAGTGATGAAACTCTACCTCAATGAACAATACTGATATCTGCAATGTCTATGCTCTACTGAACAGACCTCAGAGAAATCTACTAAATAAACATTTTGCTTTCCAGTTATAACTTCAAGTGCCTACTATTATTAGAGAGCCTTCAATGAACAAAAATAATTTGCTTTAGAAAGCTGTTTTATATCTGTAATTTGTGTTGGTTGGAGACAAAAGGTTATAAAACGCAAACAGTAAGAAAAAAACAGTCCAGATCAGTGAAACAAAAGACAAAACAAAACATTATGCCTGGCCGGTGCTGCGGCTCACTTGGCTAATCCTCCGCCTGTGGTGTCGGCACCGGGTTCTAGTCCCGGATGGGGCACTGGAGGATGGCCCAGGTGCTTGGGCCCTGCATCCGCATGGGAGACCAGGAGGAAGCACCTGGCTCCTGGCTTCAGATCAGCGCAGTGCACTGGCTGCAGCGCACCGGCCATAGCGGCCATTTGGGGGATGAACCAACGGAAGGAAGACCTTTCTCTCCATCTCTCTCTCTCTCTCACTGTCTAACTCTGCCTATTAGAAAAAAATTATGCCATAACTGAGATACAGTTACAGAGAGCATAAATACAAATTCAGTAACTTTTATCTTCCCGGTAACATCACTTAAGCCTTCTCTGCAATTTATGGAACCTATGTCGTACATCACAAGGAACCCAAAAATAATCACAAAACATTCCTCCCTCTTGAATATCTCACAAAGCAGATAATCGGGTATTTATTTTATTAAGAATAAGGAGAGGGGCTGGCGCCGTGGCACAGTAGGTTAATCCTCCGCCTGTAACGCCTGCATCCCATGTGGGTGCCAGTTCTAGTCCCGGTTGCTCCTCTTCCAGTCCAGCTCTCTGCTAGGGCCTGGGAAAGCAGTAGAAGATGGCCCAAGTCCTTGGGCTCCTGCACCCACAGTGGGAGACCAGGAAGAAACTCCTGGCTCCTGGCTTCAGATCGGCACGACTCCAGCCTTTGTGGCCATTTGGGGAGTGAACCAACAGAAGGAAGACCTTTCTCTCTGTCTCTCCCTCTCACTGTCTTTAACTCTTAACTCTCAAATAAAAAATAAAAACTTAAAAAAAAAAAGAATAAAGGCAGGGAGTGGGCATTTAGCCTAGCTGTTAAGATGCCCCATACCAGAGGGCCTGGGTTTAGTTCTTGGCTCCACTCCTAATTCCATGTTCCTACTAATGCAGCCCTGGGAGGAACCAGTAATACCTCAAATAATTGGGTTACTGCTACCCATGTGAAAGCTCTAGCTTGCGTTCGCAACACCTGGATCTAGCCTGGCTCTGGTTCAGCCTCGGCCACTGTGGGAACTGGGGGGAGTCAACAAGTAGATAGGTACTCTGTCTGGCTTTTTAATTAATTAAAAAAAAAATAAAGAGCAAAATTCCAATAAGTAACACTCTATAATGAGTATTATAAATTCCATTCAGTTTACTTAGGGAAAACATCCAATTTTGCCTTGTTTTCTTAAATTGCTATTTATTTATTTTCACTTTACTTGAAAGACACAGACGGGGAGAAAGACAGCTCTTCTATCTATTGGTCATTCTCCAAATGCCCACATTTGCATGGGGTAGGCTGGGGCAAAGCCAGGAGCCTGGAACTCAGTCTAGGTCTCCCACAAAAGTGGCAGGGACTCAAGTATCTGAGGCATTACTTGCTGTCTCTCAGGATGTGCACCAGCAGGAAGCTGGATGGGAAGCAGAACAGGCAGGACTCAAACCAGTCATTTCAATACAGGATGCAGGTATACCAACAGTTGAGCCAAACACTTACCCCTCAGGAATTTTTACTTTTATTAGGTTGTTTAAGTGGGATTTTAAAAAATCCATCTGAAAAATTTAACATGAAACCAAAATATCCTATTGGTTTGGAGACGGACCTCTCCTCAAACCAGACATTTGACAGCTCCTATAATACACAGCCCTGAAGAATCATCAAGAATTATTTTTAAAGACAAATAGGTATGGCCAGCGCCGCAGCTCAATAGGCTAATCCTCTGCCTTGTGGCGCCGGCCACCGGGTTCTAGTCCCGGTCGGGGCGCCAGATTCTGTCCCGGTTGCCCCTCTTCCAGACCAGCTCTCTGCTGTGGCCCGGCAGTGCAGTGGAGGATGGCTCAAGTCCTTGGGCCCTGCACCCCATGGGAGACCAGGAGAAGCACCTGGCTCCTGCCTTTGGATCAGCGCGGTGCGCCGGCCGCAGCGCGCCAGCCGTGGCGGCCATTGGAGGGTGAACCAACGGCAAAGGAAGACCTTTGTCTCTGTCTCTCTCTCTCACTGTCCACTCTGCCTGTCAAAAAATTTAAAAAAAAAAAAGAAAAAAAGACAAATAGGTACTATATTATGCTAGTCATTTTAAAGATCCTGTGAATGCATTATTCCCCAAAAGGTTTCTGGCTGAGGAGAGAAAAATCAAGGCACAACGTGGCTAAAACAACAATTATGAACATTCCCACTGCTACTCAGAAAGGAAATGTAGCTAAAATTTGCTCCTGGCTATTCAGATAGTCACCTATAGACTCAGGAATAAAGAATCATCTACGGGGGGGGGGGGGGGGGGGGACCACAAAACCTATAGATTTAGTCTCAATATAAGGTTTTCCTTAGGTACTTTTTTGATGTAAAACTGATACCAAGTAATCGTCATCTCCTAGACTTTGTTTTCAAATTTAATTTATACCCTTTTTTCTATAAGAGTAAATCATTAGATGAAATAGTAATTTAATTCTTGTACCTGTTACTTAACATTTATACTATATTAATTAAAAATAAATCACAAATCCAGGGAGGAAAAATAAAGCCATATTTTTCCAATTTTAAGATTAGAAAATATAATTGTTGGATGTGTAATGAGTGGTGGGAATAAACAGTTGCAGGTCAAAGATGTTATACAAGGCACTCAAACATATCTAGAGGTACAAAATAAGCACAAACATTACACTGCTCTGCTCCTGCCCAGATACTTATTCTCCAGTGTTTTATCTGAATACAATCTGCCATCTGACATGGTACTTGCAACTTTGTGTTAATGCTTCAGGGTTTTTGTTTTGTTTTTTGTTTTTAAGTTGTCTTACCTTTTGTAAACTCGTCCTATCTGATGGTGGAATCATCTCAGGAGTGAGAATGAGAGGAGGATCAATGCCTTTTATTAACTTTTGATTGATTAAGTGAAAAGCCAAGGCAAACTGATCTTTTGAAAGTTTCCCACAGCTCTTTGGGTCACATAATGCCCTGTATAAATAAACAGTTTATAAACATCACAATGCCATCCTAAAAACCCAGAAGAAAACCACAAGTATGTGTCTTTTTAAAAATAATCACTTGAATTAAAAAGGCCAAGTTGCAGCTTGTCCAAAACTCAGCTCAAATATTAGAAGAGATAGACCAGTTAAGATACTAAAGTGGAACTAATTCACCTAGTGCTGAGCAGGGGCCTCTAATCTGGATTTACTTTGTACTTATTAACAAATTCTAGAAACACAACAAAGTAAGAGCTGTGGTGGGCCAAAGAATCCCAACATTTCCTGTTACCCAAATTTTTAACATGACTTGTTCAAGATTAAACCTAAGCGTCAACAATTCTGGCTAGTTGACAGCATTAGAGTGGCTCTGAGACAAGGAAAAATTTCCACATCATCTGGCTTCCTGCAAGCCTTGGAGTAGGAGGGTACAAGGATCACCGAGTCAAAGCAGAAAGAACAGCTGCAAATGGAGATCACATGTGAGGAGAAGGCAGCAATCTGGAAAGCTTTACAAAATCACTTGAAGAGAAACAGCAAATGTCTCGTTCTATTTTCCTTTTCTTTTTAAAGCTCAGTTTTCTAAAGTCCTAACCTGTTTAAAAACAGATTTCATTTGAAATATTTTATTGAAAGCCAATGTGGCCTGATGAAAGGACTATGGGTTACAGTCTCAAACAGGCCTTGAATTCCATTATTTTCTTATTTCTTCTTGTGTCCTTGGTCACAATTTTTAATCTCTCCAAGTTCTTAGTTTCTGTGACAGTGGCCATCTACTGAGCACAGTATCTAGTCCAGCACCCCGAACTTACGTATACTTAATCCTTCTCAGTCTTCAGTCCATGCTTTTTTTGAAACAAATCTACCATCCTCTTTTCTTAGTTCTAAGCTTCTCTACAACTATGTGGCTCAACTTTTGATATTTGCTGTCTCAAGATGACCTCTGATTGGTAAAAGGCATGTTACAAAATATTTTCATAAATATTATCTTACTTAATGTGAAATTAATTAAAGACACTTAGGTCTGTCTTTTATATGAATCAACTGTTATATCCCTATATAAAGTGTGTAAGCATACATATACCTTACAGAATTATATGGCTGTGCCTTGAAGAAATATCTTTATACTGTCATTTAAATATCTGTTATTCAAAACAGAATATATTGTCTAAATTTCTGATACTGTTATTAAAATTTCAGATATTTAGATTCTCCCTTAAAATTTTAAGTTTAACTGATATTACAGAGAGATGTTACATTTGAACATTCCAATAGCAATTAACTGGTACTGTCAATCTTATAAAGCTTCAGGTAACCAATTCTCAAGCTGCTGTCCACTACTCTAAATTTTTCTATACAAGTTTAATAAAGAAATTTAAATTCAAGTCTTACCAAATATGAGCCAGTAAGGTAGAAGGTAAACCTGTTTTCAGAAAGATTTCACGGACCTCCAATCCAGATACAAATCCATCCATGTCCTTATCAGTTTTCAGGAAGATTTCATCATATTTAGCTTTTTCAACAGGAGATACAACCCACTACAAAGGGGAAAAAAAAATTTCTGCCAAAATGAAGTGAACTCTGAGTGTCACTATTTTAACTCATGACAGTATTTGGCACAAATTCTGAAGAATTCTATCTTACTAACAATAGCAACAACATATCACTTCTATCACGTCTCCATCAAAATGTTATAGTGAAAATAAAAGAACAAAAAGAGGACAATCAGGACTGCATTTATAGATACATATTTTACTTTTTTTTAAAGTGATGAGTAAATTCAAACATACTTAACTCTTGACCTATGAAAGCCTACATAATATAGGTAACTGAGAATCTGAATAAACAAAATATTCAGCTAATTCTCCATTTTCATCCAGCATTCTTAACAACAGCCAAACTGGCAGATTTGCATATCCTGACATTATTTTCCTTTCCTCAACCTGACGAAAGACAGATTGGAGAGGGGGTTTAAAAAAAAAAAAAAAACGCTGGAAAACACACAATTCGATCCCAAAGAATCAAGAGTTAGCTTGAGACTGAACAAAATAATGATTAATTATGCCAGGGCAAGCATGCTGTGTTAGCATGTAGCATCTTTCATATCCAACTTTAATCTCAGGTAGATCAAGGCAAAGTCAATGAAACATTCATATGACCTAAAGCTAAATGCAGAATTATTATCTGTCTCCTCTGGAAAATCAAATTTTGCAAGTTCAAACAGAGAGAACGTTAAATCTTTGATCCTTTCAATTGCTCCTTCTGTTTTTATCAGTACTCAACTGTTAAATGCCATGCACTTTGTTAAAAAAAAATCCTTTAACTGATAATTCTATACCTGTCTTAATGGTGCTTTGGTAGGTAAAATGCCTACAGGTTGTAAGGAGTAGTAAGATTCCTTGGCTGATGCTGAAGAGGGGATCAGCAGCATAGAGCCTGATATACTGACCGTTTTTCTCTTAGAAGGTGGCATCAAGGCTGCAGGCAAGGTCATTGGCACAGGTTCTTTCTCCAGTGCGCAGTATACCAAAAACATGGCCTTCAAAATAGATGAGTCAGAGTCACACATATATATATCATTTAAAAACATTCACCCAGTGAATTTATTATTGTACATCAACAAATCATCTTCAAGCTGTCTCAAATCTCTTTATTAAAAACTTAGGCTAGAGGGAGAGAAGGAAGAAAACACAAAGGAATGGAAGGAAGAAGAGGGGAAAAGAAATCAAAGCAAAGTAATTTTTAGGAAGATATTCTGAGCAGCAAAAACTGAGAGGCACACCCTTCATCTAAGGATCTTGCAATGTCAAAGGATAATGACAATTTGGGGGAGGGAGGAATATTATCTTTACTCATAAAGAGTTCCTAGAAATTAAAAGTCATTCAAATAGAAAAAAAGGACAATATGAACAAATATTTCACAGAAAAGTAAACACACTAAGTGGTCTATCCCTTATCATAAAAAATTATGCACAATTTCACTCATGAGAACACTGCAAAAGTATGCTAAAACACTATTTTCCATCTAACTGATTAAAATACAAAGTTTCCAAATGTACTTTTTGCTAGCTAATCTGTGGGGAAATACACTGCTAATAGAAGCTGAGGGACAGCAGAAAACACCACCCCAACACATGCCCCATTGTTATAAGGATTATTTTGAGCTGAAGGCAACTGAGAGGCAGCAGATACAAGATAAGCTCTCTGCCCACTGACTATCTGACTAAAACCCAAGAGGTAAGTGTATAAAGGTTTCTGTTTTCCCTCTTTATAAGGACAATAATTCTTCCCTAAAACTTTAGACTCTTTTTAGCTTGGAGATGGGACCAAAGGAATCTCTTTATCTACCATTAGCTTTCCATATATTTGCCTTCCCACAATTTGTGGCTCCTACCACTCAAGATTCTTTTCCTTTATCTTGTCACTTCTCTATAGAATATATTCCTTGTTGGAGATAGAATATAACCTTATTTGGGACGGGCACTATGGCGCAGTGGGTTAAAGCCCTGGTCTGCAGTGCCGGCATCCTATATGGGCGCCAGCTCGAGTCCCAGCTGCTTCACTTCCAATCTGGCTCTTTGCTGTGGCCTGGGAAAGCAGTAGAAGATGGTCCAAGGCCTTGGGCCCTTGCAACCATGTGGGAGACCCAGAGGAAGTTCCTGGCTCCTGCCTTCGGATCGGTGCCACTCTGGCCATTGCCGTCAACTGGGGAGTGAACCAGCGGAATGAAGACCTCTCTCTCTCTCTGTCTCTTCTTCTCTCTTTGTGTAACTCTTTCAAGTAAATAAATAAATTTTAAAAAAGAATATAACCTGATTTGTAAGCCACCTCTCTCAGGATTACTCTTTCCCTGAGTAGTCGCCCATATACATATAAAACATACTTGTTAATAAATATATATTATTTTTCTCTTGTAAATCTGTATTTTGGCTCAGTGGCCCCAGCCAAGAACATAGAAAGGTAAAAGGAAAATTATTCTTCCTCCCCTACAGAGTCCAAACTGGAACTACCTCTGTGAAGTACAAATTGGTAACATCTAACAAATTGTAAATGAATTTCCCCTTTCATTCAGCAATTCCACATCTGGCAATCTATGCTTAGATTCTAAGGATACAAGGGCAATTTAAAGAGTTTATGGAAAACAGAATTAAAATAAGATCACAGTGGTATTTGGCAGAGTTAAGATGCCACTTGAGATGTCCACATTCCACACTAGAGTGCCGAGGGTGACTCCTAGCTCTACTACCAATAGCAGCTTCCTGCTGACGCACACCATGGTGAGCAGTAGTGTTGGACCAGATGGTTACATCCCTGCTGCTCATGTGGGAAATTTAGACTTAGTTCCTATTTCCTGGCTTTAGCTTGGCACAACAACACAACCTTTGTGGGCATCTAGAATGAACCAGCAGACTGGAGATCTCTCTTTCTGCTTTTCAAATAAAATGAATTTTTAAAAATTAACATTTTGGTGTAAAATGAAATCTACGCATGTGTTTTTCATAATATCCATTTTAAAATGAACTTTTTGAAACCTCATGTATGCATGAATAAGAAATTTTTTGCATGAAGATAAACTTTTCAAAAAGATTTATTTATTTATTTGAAAGGCAGACCAAGAGTGAGAGATATCCTCCATCCGCTAGCTCATTCTCTGAACAGCTATAACAGCAGGTCTGGGTTAAGCTGAAGCCAGAAGAGAGGAATTTCATCCTGGTCTCCTACGTCGATGGCAGGAACCCAAGTACTTGGGCCATCTACTGCTGTCTTTCCAGGCACATTAGCAGTATGCTGGGTCAGAAGTGGAGTAGCCAGGGCTCAAACTAGCACTCTAAGACTGGATGATGGTGTCTCAAGCTATGGCAAATCCAGTGTGCCATAACACCAGAACCTCAATTTATCTTGAAATTCCATTTCAACAAACTTTTTGAGGGTTCCTCATATGTTGAAATATTAAATATTATATGAAAAAAGTTATTAACTAAAGCATTGTATCAGCACCCAAATGCCCATCAACAAAGGACTGGCATTATGATACATAGGACCGGTGCTGTGACATAGCAGGTAAAGCCACTGGCAGTGCCAGCATCCCATATGGGTGCTGGTTTGTGTCCCAGATGCTCCTCTTCCAATCCAGCTCTCTGCTATGGCCTGGGAAAGCAGTACAAGATGGCTCAAGTCCTTAGGCCCCGGCACCCATGTGGGAGACCTGGAAGAAGCTCCTGGCTTCGGATCAGCTCAGCTCCAGCATTTCGGCCATCTGGGGAGTGAACTAGCAGATGGAAGGCCTCTCTCTCTACTCCTCCTTCTCTTTCTGTGTAACTCTGACTTTCAAATAAATAAATAAATAAATCTTTTTAAAAAAACCATTATGATACGTCAATACAATGAAATACTATGAAGCAATTAAAAAAAAAATGATGGGAAACATTCCGTATCTTCACTGTAGCAGTGCACTCACAGGAATATAATGGTCAAAACTCATCAAATACATAATTGAATTGGATGTGGTTCACTGTATGCAAAGTGGTCCTCAATAAAGCTGAGCAGGACAAATGGAGTTGGGGCTCTCTGTGAAAAGATATCTATGATACACCATTAAACATAAAAAGATAATAGTATAAAACTGTGTATATGTTATCGTTTGTGGAGAAAGATATTTTTTCATTTTTGTTTACACTTGCATTAAGAAATTGATTCTAGGAACTGGAGCTGGCATTGTGTTGCATCAAGTTAAGCCAGTGCCTGCAATGCCAACATCCCATATGATCACTGGTTCAAGTCCAAGCTGCTCCGTTTCCAATCCAGTTCCCGGCTAATGCACCTGGGATAGCAGTGGAAGATGCCCAAGCACATGGAACCCTGTCACCCACATGGGAGACCTAGGTACAGTTCCAGGCTCACAGCTTCATCCTAACCCTGGCCCAGGCCCAGCTGCTGTGGCCACTTGGGGAGTGAAACTGCGGATGGAGGATCTCTGACTCTCCCTCTCTTTCTCTAACCCTGCCTTCAAATAAATAAATTTTTAAAAAATAAGTCTATGATCACAAAATTAAGATAGGAAAAGTAGCTGGTACAGAGAGTGCGCATAAATGCAGCAGTTGAGAAAAGGGACAGAATTGAGACTTTTTTCCACTGGACATCTTCTTATATCATATTGATTTATGAACTATGTATGTGTCACATTCACCGACTCAGGACAAACCCTTCTATTATAAAGGAGTCAAAGTACTTTAAAGACTATTAGAAGAAGAAAATTTTCCATGACTATCTCTAAGTACATGAGATCCCTCCAAGCAACTTAGAACCTCTGGAAAGATTCCTTGCATATTTCTTAATTTTTTCTTTCACTGAAAATTGTAATTCTCCCCAAGGTGAAATTTGCTTAACTTTTAAGTTTTACAGGACTTTTTTCAGGTCACCATTCATCCCCAAACACCACTGATTTATGATTTCCATGACTAGTCTCAATTTACAAATAAAGAAACTGCAGCTCAGAGATGCTGAATAACTTGCCTGATACAATATTATTAAGAAGTGATAAAACAGAGTTTAATTTTTTAAATGAATTGCATCCTTTTTTTTTTTTTTTTTTTTTGACAGGCAGAGTGGACAGTGAGAGAGAGAGACAGAGAGAAAGGTCTTCCTTTGCCGTTGGTTCACCCTCCAATGGCCGCCGTGGCCGGCGCGCTGCAGCCAGCATACCGCGCCTATCCAATGGCAGGAACCAGGTACTTCTCCTGGTCTCCCATGGGGTGCAGGGCCCAAGCACTTGGGCCATCCTCCACTGTACTCCCTGGCAACAGCAGAGAGCTGGCCTGAAGAGGGGCAACCGGGTCAGAATCCGGTGCCCCAACCGGGACTAGAACCCAGTGTGCCAGCGCCACAAGGTGGAGGATTAGCCTACTGAGCCGCGGCACCGGCCCCATTTCTTTTTTTTTAAGATTTACTATTTATTTGAAAATCAGAGTTACACAGAGAGAGGAGAAGAGGCAGAGAGAGAGAGGTCTTCCATCTGCTGGTTTCCTTCCCTATTGGCTGCGATGACCAGAGCTGTGACGATCTGATGCCAGGAGCCAAGAGCTTCTTCCGGGTCTCCCACGTGGGTGCAGGGGCCCAAAGACTTGGGCCATCTTCTATTGCTTTCCCAGGCCACAGCAGATAGCTGAATTGGAAATGGAACAGCTGGGACTTAAACCAGTGCCCATATGGGATGCCGGCAATGCAGGCAACGGCTTTCCCTCTATGCCACAGCGCCAACCCTTAAAATAAGGTTTAAACCAAGATTTTCTGGCTACAACACTCTTGTTTTTTTGCAGAGTTGATCATCATTTTCAGCAGCACACTTCTAATTTTACAATATAACATGTTTCCTTTACAACAGATGAAACTAACCTTTACCCAGTGGTACTCAGATTTTAGCTGGCCATCAGAATTACCAAGGCAGCATGATAAAGCACACATTTCTGGGCCCTGAAGCCAGAATTCTGGAATGAGAGGCCAATGTTAAGCCAGAGAATCTGCACTTCTAACAAGTTCCCA